AGATATATACATAGAGATATATAGAGATACACAGAGATACAGAGATATATAGAGATATATAGAGATACACAGAGATACGTAGAGATATATACATAGAGGAATATACATAGAGATATATAGAGATATACACAGAGATGCATAGAGATATATACATAGAGATATATAGAGATATACGCATAGAGATACATAGAGATGTATACATAGAGATATATACATAGAGATACACAGAGATACATAGAGATATATAGAGATACACAGAGATACACAGAGATATATAGAGATACACAGAGATATACACAGATATATACAGAGATATACATAGAGATATATAAAGATATATACAGCGATATATACACAGATACATAGAGATAATATAGATATATACATAGATATATACACAGAGATATATACATAGAGATATACAGAGATACATAGAGATATACATAGAGATATATACATAGAGATACGTAGAGATATACACATAGATATATACATTAAGATACATATAGATATACACAGAGATACACAGATACATAAAGATATATAGAGATACACAGAGATACATAGAGATATATACATAGAGATACGTAGAGATATACACATAGAGATATATACATAGAGATACGTAGAGATATACACATAGAGATACATAGAGATATATACATAGAGATATATACATAGAGATACATAGAGATATATACATAGAGACATATACATAGAGATACATAGAGATAGACATATAGAGATATATACACAGAGATACATAGAGATATATACATAGAGATACATAGAGACATACACATAGAGATGAACAGAGATACATCGAGATATATACATAGAGATATATACATAGATATATACATAGAGGTACATATAGATATACACAGATATATACATAGAGATATATACATAGAGATATGTACAGAGATATATAGAAATATATACATAGCGATATATAGAGATATATACATAGAGATATACACATAGAGATACATAGAGATATACACACATAGATACATAGAGATACATAGAGATGTACACATAGAGATACACAGAGATACATAGATATACACAGATAAGTACACAGAGATATACACAGAGATATACATAGAGATATACACAGAGAGATACACAGAGATACATAGAGATATACATAGAGATACATAGAGATATACATAGAGATATATACAGAGATACATAGAGATGTACACATAGAGATACACAGATATACATAGATATACACAGATATATACACATAGAGATACACAGAGATACATAGATATATACACATAGAGATACATAGAGATATATACATAGAGAGATACATAGAGATATGCACATAGAGATATATAGAGATACACAGATACATAGATATACACATAGTGATACATAGAGATATACACAGAGATACACATAGATATACACAGAGATACATAGAGATATACAGAGATATATACATAGATATATACATAGATATATACGCATACACAGATATACACAGAGATACACATAGAGATACATAGAGATATACACACATATATACACAGAGATACACGTAGAGATATACACAGAGATACACACAGAGATACATAGAGATATATACATAGATATACACAGATATATACATAGAGATATACAGAGATACATAGAAATATACATAGAGATATACAGAGATATAAACAGAGATATACACATAGAGATATATACATTTATACACATAGCGTTACATAGAGATATACACAGATATACAGAGATATACACATATATACATAGAGATATACACATAGAGATATACACAGAGAGATACATAGAGATATACACAGATATACATAGAGATATACACAGATATACACATAGAGATGCATAGAGATATATACATAGAGATATACACATAGAGATACATAGATATATACACAGAGATACATAGAGATATACACATAGAGATATACACAGATATACACAGAGAGATATATAGGGATACATAGAGATATACACAGAGATATATACATAGAGATATATAAATATATACACAGAGATATATACCGAGATCATAGAGATATACACAGATATATACATAGAGATACATAGAGATATACACATCGAGATGTACATAGATATACACAGATATACAGAGATATATGCATAGAGATACACATAGAGATACATAGAGATATACACATAGAGATATACACATATAGAAATATATACATAGAAATATATGCATAGAGATATACACAGATGCATAAAGATATATACATAGAAATATACACAGATATACAGAGATATATACATAGAGATACACACATAGAGATATATACATAGATATACACAGAGATATACAGAGAAATATACATAGAGATACACAGATACGTAGAGATATATACGTAGAGATATACACAGAAATACATAGACATATACACATATACACAGAGACATACACAGATATAGAGATATATACATAGAAATATATACATAGAGATATACACATACATAGAGATATATACATAGATATATACATAGAGATACACAGAGATATACACAGATACATAGAGATATATACATCGAGATATATACATAGAGATTTACACAGAGATACATAGAGATATATACACAGAGATATACACACAGATGTATAGAGATACACACATAGAGATATAATACATTTAGAGATATATACAGAGATATACACACAGATATACACAGAGCTACACAGAGAAACACAAATATATACACGTAGAGAGATACAGATATAAATATACACAGATATACACATACAGACATACACAGACATATACACACACGTTAACCATACATAGATACTGTATACATACACACGTGTCTTTTATGTGTGTTCCTATATGGAACACATGATATCTTTTCACCCCGACAGTTTGTTAAGGCGAGACGGGGTGATCTTTGTGTGTATCCAGTATCTTTGTGTGTGTGTACCATGCGCCTGTGTGTGTGTAATATAATACCACGGGCAAAGTCTAAAATGAACCCGCATCTCAAGAGCCATGTGCATGGTTATCCTACAGAGGATTATGGAGGCGGCCAATCATGTCGGCAGAATATAAGAGGAATGCATTAAGCCTGGACTCTCAGAATTACAGAGACCCATAGACTCCCATAGACTGCAATAGAGACCCATAGACTCCCATAAAGACCCATAGACTCTTAAAGAGATCCATAGACTCCCTTTGACCCATATACTCTTAAAGAGATCCATAGACTCGCTTAGACCCATATACCCTCATAGAGACCCATAGATTGCCATAGAGACCCATCGACTCACATAGAGACCCATAGACTCTCATAGAGACCCATACACTCCCATAGAGACCCATAGACTCTCATAGAGACCCTTAGACTCGCATAGAACCTGTCCTGGGGCTGCCCTAGGTCAACACCGCCTTAAATGAGTACCTGGTGCAGTTTGTCAAAATGAGGACTGGTGAGACAAAGGCGGCCGTGCCGGCCTCCATAGGCGGTGCTCGCAAACAGCACTTGCCCCAGTAATCAAGGCGGTACGGGGGATCTTTGTGTACGTGTGAGTGAGAGTCGGCGGGGTGGGTGGGTGGGTGCAGGGCGAGTGCGAAAGTCTAGACGTTGAGTCATCACGGTGTGGCCCCCTGCCAAAATAAAGGCTCCCATGACGGGGAAGGGTAGCCCCCCCCCCCAGCCCCCTCCTCTTGCCAGAATAAAAGTCCCTCGTCACGGGATTGACCCGCTTGCCAAAATAAAGGCCGCCCCGTCGGCCGGGTGCCGTCTGCCAAACATCAAAGGCTGGCATCAGCTGTATCGTCCCCCGCCTGGCAGAATAAAAGTCTGCGTCGCAGAGTGGCCCCATGCCAAATTAAAGCCCCCCCCCCCCCCTGCCGTCGTCCCCCCCCCCCCCGCCAATCTCCCATCTTAAGTCAAGGTCTCTCCCCTGGGGGCAGGAAACTTCTGCCCTAACCACCGTGTGAGGTCGTCGCTCGTCCTGCACAGACCCCTCCTCCATCCCTCTCTCTCTCTGTCTCGTTCGTCTGCAACGACCTTGCCGCACCCGCACAGCCATCCACGCTGTGGACTCCCTGTCCCCTTGTTCAAGAGGCTACGGCTTCACTCCGCCGTGCCCTACTGCTCCACCTCTGCCCGACCTTGGTTCGTCGTCGGCATCCTCATCATCGTTTTAACACGCAGGCTTTCGCCGTAACGGAGGTATTTTTTTTTCTTCCGCTATCTAACCCAAAGAAGACTTTTATTACGGATCATCATTGTCGGCCATGATCAATCCACTGTTGGATTAAGGCCCCCTCCTCCCCCGCCGTCCCCCCACCAGTGCCTGAAGTCACCTCTCGCGATGGTGGGGGTGTGCCCCGGTGGCTAGGAGATGTTAACGACCTCGCCTGGTATACTGGAGGTCGTTGTATATTTGGAGATTGTCGTCGCGTGGATTTTTCTCCGGGTCCTCCCTTTTTCCACTCCACACTTAGAATCATCATGCGCTGATGGTGTCGGTGACGGTGTAACAGTGATGGTGCGTCGGTGATGGTGTGTCGGTGATGGTGTGTCGGTGATGGTGTGTCGGTGACGGTGTAACAGTGATGGTGTGTCGGTGACGGTGTAACAGTGATGATGTAACGCTGATGGTGGTGTTGGTGATGGTTTAATGATGGTGTAACGATGGTGTAACGGTGATGGCTTAACGGTGATGTTTTGTCGGTGACGGTGTAACAGTGATGGTGTGTCAGTGATGGTGTGTTGGTGACGGTGTAACAGTGATGGTGTGTCGGTGATGGTGTGTTGGTGACGGTGTAACAGTGATGGTGTGGCAGTAATGATGTCTGTCGGTGGTGTAACAGTGACGGTTAACCGTCATGGTGTGATGGTGACGGTATAACAGTGATGGTGTAACGGTGACGGTGTGTTGTTGACCGTATAACAGTGACGGTGTAACAGTAACTGCGTAATGGTGTCACGGTGACGGTGTAACGGTGATGGTGTGGTGCGCACAGGGGTGGTGTGTGTGCCGCCACGGAGGCTGGTGCTGCTGATGGCCGGTGTGGCTGCCATGGTGTTCCTGCCCTGCTCACTGCTCCACCACCACCACCACCACCTCCTCCTCCTCCTCGACAGCCGCCCCACACCCCCACTGCTCGCGCACACCATGGTAACCGTAGTAACGCGCAAGCTCCATCGTAGCCACGGTGACGCACAAACACCACGGTGGCCGTGGTAATATGCGCACACCATGGTGACGCATCAGAGTAGCATGCGTGCCGTGCTAGCCGTGGTAACGCTGCGGTAACACGCACGCCGTGACGACATACACCACCACACACGACTCGTGGCATGCTCGCCGCACGACACGAACAACACAACATGCGAAGTCCCTGTTATAGTGGGGTCATGATGATGATGCTGCTGATGACAATGATGCTGATGTTGCTGCTGCTCATGCTGATGATGATGCTGTTAATGATGCTGTTAATGTTGCTGCTGATGATGCTGTTCGCACTGATGATGATGATGCTGATGATATTGATGGTGATCCTGCTGATGATGCTGCTGTGTGTGTGTCTCACAGGGTAGTGGCCTGTGGCCTGCTGACCGAGCAGCCTCGCAAACCGCAAGTTCTCATCAGGTGACTGGTCCCACGTCACACCCGCATCGTCGCGCCCACAACATCACACCCACAATGTCACCCCTGCAACGTTTCACACGCAACGTCACACCTGTAACGTCACCCCGGCAACGTCACCCCCACATCTTCACCCCCGCAACATCGTACCCACAACATCACACCTACAACGTGACACCTCCCACAACGTGACACCCCCCCTCCAACGTGACGTCCGTGCCCCCCCCCAACGTCACACCCACAACATCACACCCACTACATCATACCCTCCAAGGATGAACCCCAACATCACACCCGCAACGTCACACCCCACAACGTCACCCTTGCAATGTCACATCCGCAACATTATACCGACAACATCACACCCACAAAATCACACCCCCGCAATGTCACACCCGCACCCTCACATCCACAATTTCACACCCGCAATGTCACCCCCACACCATCACCCCCACACCATCACCCCCACACCGTCACCCCCACACCGTCACACCCCTCAACGTCACACCCCCGCAACGTCACACCCGCAACATCGCACCCGGGAACGTCACACCCACACAGTCACACCCGCAAAGTCACCCCCGCACCATCACTCCCGCACTGTCACACACCCCCAACGTCACACCAACAACATCATACCCCCACAACATCACACCCGCAACGTCGCGTCCGCACAACACCCACAGCTTCACACCCGCACCGTCACCCCCGCAATGTCACCCCCACAACGTCACCCCCACAACGTCACCCCCGCAATGTTACCCTCGCACCGTCACACCCACAATGTGGTGCCCACATAACACCCGCAACGTCACACCCCCAACGTCACACCCCCAACGTCACACCCCCAACGTCACACCCCCAACGTCACACCCCCAACGTCACACCCCCAACGTCACACCCCCAAAGGGCACCCCCGCAAATGTCACACCCACAACGTCATACCCTCAACGTCACACCTCCAACGTCACACCCCCCAAGGTCACCCCCACAACGTTTAATGACGACGCGTCAGTTGTTGTTTTTACCGGTGGGGCCTCGCTAGCCGGCGAGCCACCAGCCAAGTGACGTGAGAATTCCTCACCAGACATCAGCTCGCCTGACCCTCACCACTCATTGATTTCAATGTCTCTCTGTGTTCTATGTTCTCCCTCCCTTTCTCTTTTTCTCCTCTCTCTGTTTTCCACTTCTCTCTACCCTCCCTCACCTTACTCCCCCCCCATCTCTCCCTCCCACTCTCTCCCCACCCCCCCTCTCTGCCCCCCACCCTCTGCTCCATCCCCCTCTCTCCACCGACCCTCTGCCCCCCCCCCCCCACTCTCTCCACACCTCCCGCCACCGTCGCCCCCACCAGCCCCTGGTGTGCGGCGGTGCCTCTGCGACGGGGGGCCCCCCGGCCGCCCGCGACCCCTTCGCCCGCCCGGGCGGGGGACTCAAGTACCCCTACAGCTCCTCCGAGGTGGACCTGCCCCCCACGATCGCGCTCTCGGACGGCGAGGAGCCGCCCCCCTACAAGGGTCCCTGCTCCTTGCGCCTCCGCAACCACGAGCAGCAGCTGGAGATCAACCGCGAGGCCATCCGGCCGCCCCCCAACCGCACCGTCTTCGACAGCGACTACTGGCCGCACTTCCGGCCCCCCTCCTGCCGAGCGGGGGTCTCGGCGGGGGGGGCTCGCGGCGGGGGGGGGCCCCTGCGGGGGCTGCTGCTGCCGCCGCCGCCCTCCTACAGCGAGGCGCTGAGACACTGCCTCATGCCGCACGCCGCGGCGACGACCGCCGGCGGCGCGACCGGCGCGGCCGCCGCCGCCGCCGCCAAGGCGGTAGCCGGCCCCGCCGCGGGCACCACCGCCGTTGCCGTCCCTGCCGCCGGCGGCGCGACCGGCGCGGCCGCCGCCGCGACTGCCGCCACGAAGCCCGGCGCGGTCGTCTCCGCCGGCGACGGCGGCGCGACCGGAACGACCGCTGCCGCCGCTGCCACCGCCGTTGCAGAGGCGGGCGCCGGCGTGGCGGTGGCGGTGGGGCCCGGGCAAGAGACGGCGGTCGTGGTTGTGGTGGTGGGGATGGGGATTGGGGGCGGCCAACCGCAGACTAACGCCGCCAGGGGACGCACGGCTTGACGGGAGCACGGAGACGGACGGGCCGACGGACGGACTCGTGCGGACGGACGGACGGACGGACGACTCGTGCGTGCACGCGGGGTCAAAATCCATAGCCCACACTGCAAAAGAGCGGCCGTTGTGGATCCGGGGACGGAAGGGGAAAACGGAGCGGCGTCGACGGCTGCGGCGGTGACGGCGGTGCCAAAGAGGGAGAGCTGGAAGGAGGAACTGACGGACGCGGGCGAGCGCGTGAAGCGGGCGAGAGAGCCAAGCAGCGAGGATTTGGACCGGTCATTGCGGGAAAGTGGGGAAGGGCGGGGGGGGGAGGGGGGTGCCAGTGCTGGACTCGCGGAGGACGAAGGCGGAGAAGATAAAAAAAAAATAATAAGAAATATCTATATCTCTATTATATAAACGAGAAGAGATTCTATCTATATATATACGTCTAGCGACACGCCCGGCCGTTGGCGCGGCCGGGAGATGTTCCAAAGTGCTTTTAGGGGTCAGGCAAAAGTTTCACAAAAGCACACAGCCACCGGGAGGTGGTCGCTCATCACCCGGCGCTCACCACCCGTCGCTCACCACCCGGTGCTCATCACCCGGTGCTCACCATCGCCCTCCACCCGGCGCTCACCACCCGGCGCTCACCGTCGCTCAACCACCCGGCGCTGACCACCCGGCACTCACCACCCGGCGCTCACCATTGCTCACCACCAACACGAGGAACGCCGCTCATCGTTTTGTTACCATAATGATGATGATTATTATTATAATTATTATAATTGCCGTCATTATTAACTGTTGTCGTTGAGGTCTTTGTTGTTATATTTTAGGCTCTGTCAGTGCCAAGAGCGTTGTGGCAGAAGCTTATTTAATTGCTATTGCTGTTATTTTATATTATTTTATTATTAGATAATTTGTTAACGAGGAGGAGATGGGGGGGAGGGGGAGGTGGGGCAGGCGTGGGGGGGGGGGTCAAGCAGTTGCACTAAATCTGGGGGGCACGATCGGGGGCTGGGCGTGCATGTGTGTGTCTGTGTGTGTGTCTGTGTGCAGGTGTGTGCAGGTGTGTGCAGGTGTGTGTGCGTGTGGGGAGAGCGGTGGTGTAGCGGTTAGCGCTACGCTGCGCTCCGAACCCGGCGACCCGGGTTCGATTGCCCGCTCAGGGCCAACACCGGTGACAATTATCGGAACCGGTCATGGGCCTCCCCTAGGTCGACTCGGCCTCAAATTAGTACCTGGTGCGGTGTGTAGTAAACATCGCCGCAGGGGAGACAAAGGCGGCCTGGCGTGGTGCTGGCCACCCACCCCCTCGTGTGCCGTGCCGGCCTTCATAGGTGCTGCTCACTAACAGCACTTGCCCCTACAGTCTGTTAAAGGCTACACGGGGGGGGGGCGGGGGGTCTCTTTGTCTACGATTGCGAGTGCAGGTGTGTTTGTACGTGTGTGTGTATGTTCGTGTGTACGTGTGTGTGTGTTCACGTGTACGTGTGTGTGTACGTGCGTTGGTGTGGTAGTTGTGGCGAGTTAGGCGACCCGAGTTTAATTTCCGTTTGCGCACAACGTCGGTGACGAACACCTGAACCGGTCCCGTGGCCCTTCCCCAAAGGTCGACTCGGCCTTTCAATAAGTACCGGGTGCAGTTGCGTTATTAAAACGTCAGCACCGGGGAGACAAAGGCGGCCTGGCGTGGTTTTGGCCACTCCACTGCGCTCTCGTGTGCCGTGCCGGCCTTCTTCAGAGGTGCTCGCGAACGTCACTTGACCCCAAACCGTCCACCTTTGTAGGCGCGCGTGCTCGCGCGTCTGGAGTACATGCGTGTGCAATTGTGTCGACCTGTGTGCAGGTGTGTGTCCGTGTGTGTGTACGCACCTGCGTGCAGTGTTGTGTGTGTGTGTGTGCTTGTCTTTGTACGTGTGTGTCTGTGTGTGCGTGTGCGCCTAACTCCACCTGGCGCGTACCGGTGCAGCGCTCTCGCACGACTGGCGGCGGTGACGCACGCGCGGAAGAGAGGCGATCAGGGTCCACGCAGTGGGGGGCTCGGCACAGGGATCCAAGTGGGGGAGGGGGGGGGTGGGTCCCAGCACGGGGGGGTGGGTCCCAGCACATCGGGGGGGGGGGGGGGTACCAGCACAGCAGGGTGGTGTGTGTGGGGGGGGGGGGGTTTGGGGGTCTGGCCTCACTGCTGGGGTGAGGTTGGGCAGCGTCGAGTGACCCTCCTCACTCCCCCTTCACTCCCCCCTCACTCCCCCCTCACTCCCCCTTCACTCCCCCCTCACTCCCCCTTCACTCCCCCCCGGCCCAAATGCCCTCCCGGGGCAGGTGACGCAGAGAGAGAGCGAAGAGGAGGAGGAGGAGAGAGGAGGAGGAGAGAGGAGAGAGTTTCTGGATCTTCCATAGTGGACTGTGGACACATATTTATTGCCATTGACGTTCACAAAACTCAGACTTTTACTTCATTTTTTTTATCGTTCGTTTTTGTACGAGGGAGTCGACGCGCGTCACCCCCCACCCCTTCCCCGCACGCGCTCGCACGCGAACGACGTCGCGTCTGTGCCTGTGGTGTTCGGGGTCGCGGTCTTGGGGCATTCGCCGCTCCACCCCTCCACCTCCCCCTGATGGTGGGGGCCAGGGCGGAGGGGGGGGGGCGATGACCCCTTGGACCTCGGCGACCGCGCGTTGCTCCACCCAGTGAACCATTAAAAGTGCGTCAAAGACGTTTCCACCTCGCAGTGATGTGATTATGTCACGTGTGTGTGTGTCCCCCGGCATTCGATTCGCACGGTTTGCGACGTACGGTGCGAAAGAAGTTCGCCGTACTATTCGCGTTGCTCGCGAACAGTACCAAAATATGAGAATAGGTTTTCCCCTGTTTCTGGCAACAAAACAGGTGTTACGATATATTATTGGTTCTTTCGGTAAAGTCACGTAGAAGGGAAACAATAAAATAATAAAAATATAAAACAATAAAATTCTCACGACGTTTCGACTGCAACACACGCAATAATCATCAGGTGTGAAAACCACAGCAAGAAAATGTCCTTCTACGTGACTTTACCGAAAGAACCAAGCATATGAATTCCTGCAGTCACGAAAGCTTTAAATCAGGTGTTAAGATGTTAAAACACCAAACTGAAACCTTTTACAAGGAATCATGTCTGCATTAACCACAATACTTGTGGTCAGAATGCAAAGAGAAAACGTACTCTGATAATATATGTGGCATTGTATTCGAAACTGATTGGTCCACACCAGAGACAGCTTTCTTTTGAGCCTCGTCTCAAACGGTGTTGGACCAGAGGACGCTAAAAGGCGTCCTCTATTCTCATTTTATTTCACCGGGTAAGGCCCCACGAGTGTGTGCATCCACGTGTCAAGCAAGCAGCAACAGCGTCAGCATGCAAGATCGCAGACAGTGGCATGATAAGTAGCATCGTTGACACCAATTCTAATCGAAATGAATACGTAAAAAAATGTTTAGTAATATAATTGTGGTCTATTTGTGTTTCTCCCTTGTGACGGTGGAACTTTGTAGGTTGAACGTTGAGATTTATAAAAGGCACGGGGTGACCAATAAGGTCTGAATTGGTCTGCAATAAGGTAGGGCACTGATCAGGGGTTGACAGGTATGAAGACAGCCAGTGTGAGGGTGCCCCCCACAAATCATTTTAGACCGTTGGGGGTTTGACAGCAGCACGATGATGATGGGGGGGGGGGGATGTTGTCACGTGTTGTGTTTTGTGTCGTGAGGCGTGTGTCAGGGGCCCCACTAAAGGCCACCAGGGGCCTCGACTATTGTACGTAAATTTTTTTTTTATATTTTAGCAGGTAGGGCCCCACCGAGCTATTTAGCTACTTTTCATGGGAAGAGAGAGACGCAAATTCGACCTGGCCATCACAAATGATAGCTCAACGAAGTGGCTTATCGTGTGGAAATGTACAGCAGCCAAATACTTTAAACGAATGACGTTGATTCTAAATGTGGAGAGAAAAACCGGAAGATCGTCGAGAAAAATCCACACGACCACGGGGGAGAGAGCGAGAGACGCGCAAACTCCAAATGTCGGGATCGAACACCACGACCTCCTGCATACAAGGCGAGGGAGTTAACATCTAGCCACCATTCAGTCAACCCACGGCACCCTGGGTCTGTCCCGTGACGTGCCAGCGAACGTTCGACGCTTCACGTGGCCTTAAAGTGCACACGGCAGCCTGGCACAAGCGCTGCGGTGATGTCACCGGCACGTAGTGGCGAATTGCGGTTGTTGCTTAAAGCTGTGTGGAGGCCGCCTGGGCCACCACCGGGGCTTCTTGGCAACCGTCACTGCCCCTCCTCCCTTCTCTGTGCTTGACACACGTGACCTCCTTGACTGAAACACCGAAGCCACTTTGAAACATTCCGGTTGGCCTGCCTACGATCCATCCTGGGCTTTCACCATGCTGGATTGTGCGAAGCGCTCACGGCGCATTGCAGGATTTTGGATACGGTCCCATCGGCAAGCTCCTCCGGGCAGGCGAGGCTGCGTTGGCTGGGTCATGTCGTCCCGCATGTCAAGCCACAGCATGCCCACGCAGCTTCCGATTTGGTCGGATAGAGGGGTGCTCAACGGGCGCGACACGGGCTAGAGAAGAGATGGAGTGATGTGGTACAGGAGGACGTGGAGCTAAGTGGACTTGCCGATGACTGGTACCAGTGGTGTAAAGATCGGCCTCTGTGGAGGAGGTTCGTGAAGGACGCTGCTGCTGGGCAGTTGGAGGCAGTCGCCTTCCAGCAACAACGGAGGGCAAGAGGAGCGACGCTCACAACAACGAGCGGAGTGCTGGGCGCCTAAAACGCAATGAGTCGGCACGGTGTGGTGCACGAGGTGGTGCATCTGCCGGTCATCTCAGTCCCGTCAACTCATGACACCTGGGACTGTCCCGTGAATTCCTGCCAGCTGCAAGAGGCTTACACGCTTCACGTGGATTCAAAGTGCACCTAGCCTGGCGCAAGCTCTGCGGTGACGTGTGAATGTTGG